GTACTCACATCTTTTAAATCTATATCTGCATCCTCCGGGAAGTCTGGGTGACTGTCACCAGAACCATCTTTAGGGAATATTCCCCAGTCATCCCCTTCCTTCAATTCTCCGCATTCTGCAATAATGCACAACTGTAAAAATAATCCTAAATTGTAGAAGTGCACTACCATATTAATGATATAAAAAAAAAGGTCTGGGTTTAAAAGCTATACAGCTGCAAGTCATGTGCAACACTGTCGAAGTCCCTTCTGAAATGACAGATTGACGTGAGGAGGCTCATCTATCTGTTCTAATTACAAGAATGGCCTTTATATACAGAGGGGGCCAAAAAAAAGGAAAACCAATTTAAGGAAAGAAAACCACTTATTAAAATTTAAAAATCAAATTTTAACCAATAAAAATTAAAGAAAAGAAGCCATGCTTTACCTTTTTTTGGCACCTCCAGTATGTTCCAAGTAATACAATGTCACTATTTTATAAAAGTATTTTATTGATATTCAGCAGCCCAGTGTACACAAAGTAAGTTGAAAATGTTATTCTCTATATAACTTTCTTTACATAGGGCATCGCTTTCAATTTACTACTGTTTCCTTCGTACACTGAGGGACAGCCTATCTCCTGCCGGTACTGGGGGAGTTTCCAGTTCCCACTCACACCCCTGCCAACTGGGTAGGTACTGGTCATTTTGACTGACAGGCACTTAGAACATAAGATCCTTAAGTAATTTACAGAGGATGAGGAAACAGGCCAAGAAAAGTTAAATAAATCAAGACTGAACCACCAATTAAATGGCAGAATCTAGACAGGATTCTTCATTTTCTGTCCTCTTTCTAGTGTGTACTTGTATACACACTGTGACTCAAAAAGTTTTTCAAGTACAGGAAGACTGAAATCACCAAACTGAAGTTGAAACAATAAAAATCTCCTTTTAACTGCCCTAATCTTTCCTTTGTAGAAAATAGTTTAAAAGAAAGTGGCAAATCCAGGCTTCTATACCAAAAGTCATCCTAACATTTTTTTCAGCTTATAATCATCTGATCCTTTTACTTACATTTCTTGAAGACAGCAACTAA